ATCCGAGGGAATCGTTCAGACTTGGGTCAGAAGGCTGACTGTCCTGCAACTGTGTTCACTTTGAGGGCTAATTTGGCCTGACCGAACCAGAACAGGTCTGCCCTCTTTCTGATTAAGTGCTGAATTACTCTGAATGAAGTAAAAAAAGATCCTGCCAATCTCTCTAAGTTCTCACTCTGGGGGAGAAAAAGACTTCCCAGTGCAGCTTACTTGCACTTGATTGATCTGTGGTCATGAGAATGTTCTAAGGACACTTGCCCCACTGATTTCTGGTTGCTTATAATTTCTCTAATAAAAGAATTTAATAAATGTACAGTTTACGCAGTGTATAAATGTAAATATGTAAACCAACAACTCAGTCAGTAATTAGATTTTCTCCTGCATGGTGAACCCACTTCATCCATCACCCAGCAGCAGGTCATGTTAGTTTATTTCATTCAGCAAGGTCACTCTCTCTGATGAGAGGACTGGGTGCCAAACCACTAGAGGTTTGATTAATTGTGAATCAACGAGCCATAAAGGCGGAGTGCTGTAAATGTGCTGCGATTGGACGAAATGATATATCACACTTCTCCTTGCTGGACCTTGCTTTGGGGGAGGTCTGGTTTACTAGGTCAGAAATACACTGGTCCACGGGTGGACTATATTGGGGCGACAGTAAAGAGGGAGAAGGCAAAAGATAAAAATAAAGTCAAGGTAGAATAATGGAGGCACATGAAAGTGGGATGAAAGGAATGAAAGGTGGAGATAAACAGGAAGGATGGAACAGATTGAGATATAATAAGAAAATGGAGGAGTGACTGAAGAAAATTGAGATATTTATCCATAATACAACAAAATCTGTTCTTTTTTGCCATCTTTTATTCCCACCTTTCTGATGTTTCATCAGATTGCATTGATAAAACACATCTGCACAGATGTGAATGTCAGAAACACATCAGAAACCTCTGATCTTACAGGTTCTGCTAACACACAATACAGACACACACAAACTTGTACTCACACGTATTGCATTAAAGACTATTTCAAGCAGCTTTCAGCACAGTGAGGAAATCTGGCGCCCGACCAGCGTTTGAAGTCGTATCAGCTCCAGTCGTTCCTATCACCATGCTATCACTCCATCCACTTCTCATTTCTATCCCTTGCTAGCTTCTCTCTTCCTCACTTATCTCCCTTACGCCCCCAGAGATCTTTGCACGCCTGTGCTCACTCTCTCTTAATCATCCTCCTTTGCCCCCCCCCCCATCTTATTCTGACCCAGAGTTGCCCGAGGCACCGAGAGCTACACATTCTCTTGTCATACCAGCTGACTTCCATCACCACCTTACTCCCTCCCTCACCCTTCCTTCTCTTCACCTAAACTTCCATTTGTGGTCAAGAAATACTTTAAGAAACTGAAGTAAAAGTAGTAATACCACAGTGTGGAAATACTCCTTCATTCAAACTTTGGCTCAAGTAAAGAAATGTAACCAAAATTAGAGCCCCACAAACTAATTTAGAGTTATCTTTAGTTAAGTTTAAAGCTAAAATGGAATATTTAAAAGCCTCAATAACATTTCTTTATCATAAGGGTTTGATGACGTGGGAATCATTTTGAATATTTGTTTTGATATAGCCTATATATCAGCTGATGATTGTGATTAAGGTAAATAGAAAAAGCAATCGCACCAAACCACATCACACAGAGATTGACCTAGTGTGTGAAGGTGAGGAGGTACAGATACTGTATATGCAGGAACTACTTTTGTTACTTTGAATGTAAAAACAAAGTGCTATAAATTTGCACAAAGACTGTCCGCAAGTGTGCACTCTTCATTCTCACCGTTATTTCTAAGTGAGAAAAGATTTCAATACTTCCACCATCTTAAACATACTGAAATCTGTATTCTTTACATTTTCTACTATCAACAAAAGTCTAAAACAATAGGCTTATGGAAGAGTTCACTTGAATTTCTATGGCTCAGAGCCCACACTCCCATATCAAAATCTTATAATTAATACAGGTCCAAAATCTTCTGGTTTGTATTCAAAAGGATCTCACTGATTCCCTCCAACAGCTGGGAACTGCAGTTGTTAGTAGAAATAATTCAAACAACAGTAAATAGTGTATTCGTTGGGGATCATTTTCGGCTGCAGCTTGGTCCACATTTGGTGCACTAGTGAATATTTATGGCACCAGGACAGCGTATGTGGGAGCAGACTTAAATTAAACTCAACTGCCCATGTTCATTGTAATGACGGTATATGTCACCCAGTGCAACGCTAGAGCTCAATGATGTGTTTGTAATAGTTTTTGCACAACAACGGATAACAAACTAAATCAGGCTTGATAAAAGAGGAGGTAATTGTTGGTTTCTGTCTTTTTCTGCAATTTGTTGAAGATGAAAATATTAATTGATGGATGCTTTCAAATATCCTTTACGCTGCATTTAGATTTTTTTGGCCAATGGAGCTATAGATTTATACTACTGGTTATATATAGACATTCATAATTTAGATAAATAAATATAATGTATATGTTTTATATGTAAAATCTGACAAATAATTTGTGACTCAAAGGGTGTGGAATAGACATCAGAGAAAAAATTCTGCCCCTCCTCTGTTTCCTTTTTCCTCCCCTCTAATTCGTCATCACTCCTACTCTTCCTCCTCCTAAATAACTCCCTCTTTCATCTTCTCCTCACCTTGTCTCCCTACCACCCTCCATCTCTCCTGCCTCGTGTTTCTCATCTTCACGTCTCTTTCCCTCCCTCTCTCTCTCTCTCTCTCTCTGCCTCCCTTAGTCCGATGCTTGATGCTGCCGGAGACAGATCGCGGTCCTCTCCTCTGCTCCTCGCTGGGAATCACACACACTCTTCTACACTAGATTGAGACAAAGCGAAACCAAAACAATTCAGAGGATGCAGATGCACATAAATGGACAGATGAAGAGGAGAAGTGACTGAGTGGAGGCAGGACAAGTGAAAGGAAAGAAAAAAACTGAGAAAACCTCCCTGGAGTGGAGAGGAGGTTTCTAAAAATACACGGCAGCTTTTTTCCCCTGCGTTCTGTTATTTTCTCTCTCTCCCTTCTTCTCTGCTGTTTCTCCTTCCTTCATTCAGTACCTGTTCTGTGGGATTAACATGACTTAAAATTCAATCAGCCTACAGCCTGACGGAAGAGCGACAGAGGAGGCAGACAGAGCACTGCAGCTGTCGAGACCGAGCGAGGGGACGACCGAGGGGAGGAGACAGAGAGAGAGAGAGAGAGAGAGAGAGGGGGGGGGATAGACAGGGAGTGATAGAGATAGGGGGGGAGAGAGAGAGAGAGACAGAGAAAGACAGAGAGAGAGATGGGTGTTTTTCCATGGAGCTGAGCTAGAGAGCGAGCCGTGTTGACAGAGATGTGACGGCTCCAAGAGTCGTGGTGGAATGATCCGGAAAACAAGGTTAGTAATTGCACCTTTTCATCTGGCAGAGGGCAAAAAAAAAAGGTAGAGAAGGAAGAGAGAGGAGAAGAAAGAGCCTGAAACTTAGAAAGGAGTACAATATAACTGTAATGTGCTTTTTGAATTAGCAAAGTGGAACCCAGAGGAGGAGAAGCAGAAAAAGCATTAATTGAATAGGAATCAATGCAAAGAAGGGAAATTCAATTGAATTGAGGAGGGGGAAAGAAATCTGACGGAGATGCTGCTGCACTAATGTACAGGAACACACACACACAGAGCGAGTGCACAGCCTTAGAGAAAGATAATGAGATTGTCTTCTCAAAGGTGTCGGCTTTTGGAGTTTGACTGACAGGCCAGAGAGTGGGGGGTGGGGGGTGGTGCGGACAGAGACTTTTGAACTGTGTGACATTCATGGCACTAATCAATAGCCCAATTGTTTCATTACGCGGTGTGTGTGCGTAAGTGTGCGAGAGAGAGAGAGATGCAGAGTATCGCTGCATGACTACTTAGTGGATGTGTGCGTGGCGCAGGCGACTGTGGTGGTGCAAGCATGCGTGAACGTGCTGCATGACCGTGTGCATGTGCGCTCCTGGGAGTGTTGCTGTGTGCAAGCACGAGCCAGTGCAGCGCGCTGAGAAGCGTTGAGAGGGTCTCAGAACTATTGATTCCCTTTGACAGACAGGTGAGGGAGGGAGGGAGGGAGGGGGGAGACAAGGGAGACAAATTGTGGGTGGGTGGGTGGGGGGGGAGGTTTCAAAGAGGGTAAAAAGGGAGAATAGAATGATTGACAGCAGAAGTCACGGAAAGAGGGATGATTGGAGACATGTGAAGGGACGAGGGAGGTCAAAATAGGAGAGGATGAGACAAAAAAGTGCTAATGGACTCAGTGAGATGTTTCACGTGAGTGAACACACACAAGAGGAAAGACGACGACATTAATGGAGCAAACCCTCTTCACGCTCTCCATTTGTCCTCTTTTGCAGGTTTCTAGCCATCCCTCCATCTCTCCAGCTCACTCCCAAACCTCCTTTTCTGCGCCTCCCTCCAAGGTCATCAATGAACGACTCACTCCATGTGGGAGAGCAGACATGGGTTACACTCTGTAGAGTGTAGAGAGGCCCTGGAAGTCACTCCGAGTAGTGAGGGATGAGAGGAGGAGGAGAAGAGGAAAAACTTAATGTGTAAAAGGATGAAGCAATAGGAGAGAAAGCCAGGGAGGCAGATGAATAAGTGAGAAGAGAAGAGAAGAGACGGGGCTGTATGAGAGAGGAAGGAGGGGGAAAAAAAGGGAAGAGTGAGAGAAGGGGAGGAAGGAGGCGGTGGGATGGGGAGGTGAAGAACACCGCTGACTCCAGCCTGAACTGCTTGACATATACTGAATACAGCCACGAGGAAAATATATGAAAAAGCCATGAATAGGATTTTAAGCAAAGTGGATTCTTGGATCTTTCTTCAAACCGAGGTCTCTGTATCGGAATACCGCACCAGGATTGAGCGAGTAATTCTGGATTTTCCAGGTTTTCTTCATCTATAGAAACCTAAGAGGATACTGGGGGATTGGAATTTCTGCCACTCTGTTTTTTTTTTTTTTTGACATTGACCTACATCCTCCTCCTTTTGATGTATGTGGGGGCGCGTGTGTGTGGAGTGGAGTAGGACAGGTTTCAGCACAAACACATAAACTCCCCCTGCCCATACCCCTACCTTCTGTCCCAACACAAGGAGAAACACCTGGGGACGAGATCTGTGCTAAACACTCGCACATACACACACACAATCACACACCTGGATAACATGTGGAGCTGATTTGGATTATAGAGCCGCACAGACGGAAAAGGTAATGTGTTGTTACATGCACACACACCACACACACACGCACACACACGCACACACACGCACACACACGCACACTCTTCTTGGAGGCCCTTAACAGTTGTACCAAACCTTTAACCTTTACTCCAACCTACTGCTGCCCAATAATTGCATATATATATATATAGTGAAGTTGAATCCATGTTTGCACGTTAGCTTTCTTATGCTGAATCATTGAGCACATCGATGCTGTGAACATCAGCAACTCACCGAAATGGGAACTCTGTGTTCTCCCACACAGCATATACATACACACTGAACACCTATAAATAATAAACAGCTGTGCATTCATAACAACACACACACACACACACACACACACACACACACACACACACACACACACGTACGTCCAACATGGCACTGATGATAGGTTTAACTTTTCTTATCCCTCTCTTCCACACTTTAGTGCTCTACATACTCTGATACTGAGTAGCTGGCTTTCTATTTTTCTGTGTAGGTTTCAGCGCATGTGAGTGTCAGCCAGAGCTGTCCTGTATCAGATTACTCACTAGGTTCATCTCAGCTTGGCTTTCATCACCTCGCCTTTATGTAATCTCACCAGGCGTGTCGTGTGTGTCTGCAGCATGGTAAGAGTGTGTGGACACTGCGAGTGTGTGCGTGGCATCGGCAGCATCCGCAGCACATTGTTAAACTCCCATGGTTTGAGGCCCTTTACGTAAGCCGCGTCAGAGCACGCGCGCACACACACAAAAACACACGGATTTGGCACACTGACACGGGAGATCAGACTGTCTGAGTGGATATATGGGAGGATAAGAGGGCGATGACAAAGAAATGGAAACCAGAGGAGAAGGAAAGTGCGAGGAGGTAAAGAGATACAGGGAGAGAGGACAGGGGGAAGGGAAGGGTGACACACAACATAGTGATGTGTGCTTAGGCCTAAGAGAGGTCAGATTGAAGGATTGCGGTAAGAGCAGAAAGAAGTGAGAAGCAGTGATTGACTTCTTTTAGTGACAGAGAGACAAGTGAATGGAAGACTGTGGCAATAAGAAGGGAATAAAAAGGCTTGATTCAGATAAAGCGATAGAAAAAGGGAGGAATAACAAGGAGGCATATGGAGAAAGTGAGGGATAAGTAAGAAATAATAGAAAAACAGACCTAAAATGTTTGAGCAGCGAGAAATGACATTGAGTTTAGAACTGATTTATTTAATAATAAGTGAGATTAACAAGTCTGGATTGATGAGTTACAAGAAAAAAAAAAGGTTAGAAAGAGGCACCATCAGGTTGTGGAGATAAATTAAGGGTAATTTACCATAGGGAGATAAAAATAGAAAGACAGATGAGGAAGAAATAATTAGAAAGACAGATGGCCATTATTATTTAGCTTTATACGTTATACCATTGGCTACAATTAGTCTAACTTGACCCCAAAAAGTCTGTCAAAGATCACTAATGCATTTCCTGAGCTATTTAGAGATATGGTGAATGTAGATTATATAATATGAATAAACTGTCAAATTATAAGGCACAACTTGGGTGGGAAAGTGAATTCTACCTTTGAGGAACATTAATTACCCTTGAAACTAAAATAATTCCTGAGAAAAAATGTGAATCTATTTTTTTATGAACAATAAGCTCTAAGACAGGGCTCATTACTTGCTCTGTTGATCGTTCACAGCTGTTTTGACTCTCGCTGTGAGCAGGGGCAGCGCTAATTCTGAAGAGATGACTGAATCTTTTTAAAGTGAAACAAAGAAGCCTTTTGATATCCATTATCCAACTCGTAATTCTATAATTGGCTGAGCTCTCCTGCTAGTCGTCAGAATACAGAGCAGGTGAGTGTCGCCTGATTCAAACGGTGAAAATAAAGGCAGAATAAAAGAGCATTTTCACAATCATCTTGTTAATGTGTCCGTGCGGCTCGTTGATACCAAAGGCTACAGTAAGGGAGATGAACAGATGGGATGCTCCCTCTTCAAAGTAGGAGTCATGCCAATATGAACAGACTGGCACATGAATGGAGGCATAGAGGGAAAAAAACAGGCAAGTGAATGGAGCTTTCATTTAAGAGAAGTGACAAATAAACTTTCAGATCAACAAACTGACCATTGCCGAGTTCCTCCCACCAATGTCAGTGGTGATACAGCTGTCAAGCTTTCAATTCTTACATGGCAGATAATAAAAACAACTAAAGCCACAAAATAACCTTTGAATGGGTTCGTTTACAACAAGCCCGAAAATTTGAAATTCTTCTGTTCACAGAAAAATTACAAAGACACCAAGTTGGTTCTTATTTAACAAGGTTGAGCAAAAACTAAAAATCTAAATTTTAAATAAAATTTTGATGAAGAGCAATTTTGGTTTCGGTTTTTTTCAATTTCTTTAAGATCAACATTTTCTTGATTTCTCAAAGAAGCATTTATGGATCTTTAAGAAAAGCACAGGCATGTTTAGGAGACTGACCTTCATGAGTGTGGATTTACAATGTGGTGCAGATCCAAATAAAAATTCTGGATCTATTGAATTTAAATGTGGTTTCATTAGTTGACTGTTAAGCCTTTCCTGAGGTAAATCGTAACTATCAACATTATTAGAGAGAAACAATATGCATGCATGCTGTGTAATGTCATGCATGGGAGCAGCCTTGGTTCTGTGTACACAGGTGAAAACTGGCATAATGGTGGATCCTATATAGCCATATAATGGGATCTGTATATAAAAGCAGCTAAGGAGAGAAGTGAAAGATGTGAAACTGTGAAACAAGGGGAGGCACTGTCAATGTCAGTAAGGTGACACTTGATGGATGGTAAGATGGACGAATGAATGACAAATGGTGGAGCGGGAGAAGTGAAGGGGCTGGGCTGGTAACGAAAAAAGGCAAGATCAAAGTATGAGACATCAGGCCCCTGTCAACAGCTGAGGAATGGAGTGGAGGCTGAAGGACAGACAGGTATAGAACGATAGCGTGATGAAGAGGAGTAATTGCAAGGCGTTTAAGATGGGGAGGAACTCTCAGAGGATGAAGGGAGACTGGGTAATGAAGAATGAAAAGGCAAGTGATGACACTTGAGAGGTGCATGATAAGCAGGAGCATGGATAAGAGAATAGAGGAATAACAATGTCTGAAAAGAAAAACTACACTAATAAAGCTCTGGCACACTGAGAAGGGGAGGGATGGATGGGTAGAGAAGTGGATGTATGGATAAATGAGTGGAATAAAACTGATGTGACTGAATTCTGGAAGGTTGAGTAATTACACCGTTAGTAGTCAAACATGGGGAGAGGGGTTGTAGATGAAGGGATGGCATGACTAAGTGGAAGGATGAGAAGCAAAGAGGAAGGAAAGAAGTGGGAAAATCAAAGTGAAAAATGATGAAAGAGAGAAAGAGGGTGTCACAGCGAGGGGGGAGTGACTAAGAGGCTCCCCCAGTCAGAGGTGAAAGCAACAAGCCAAAGCACAGTGCAGAAGTAAGGAAGGATAGAGGGATGAGAGGATGAGTAATTAAACTGTTGACAGTCTGTTTAGGCACAGCAGGCGCCTGATGAGCAGAACAAACTGTAACCACGGCAACCGCTGGAGACAGACGGAGGGATGGTTCTGGGGAGGGAGATACAGGGGGGGAGGGAAACGAGGAAGAGCCAGACGTTAAAGAGTGTGTGTGAGGCGACATTTGGGGGATTAGAGGAAGGGAGGGTGTCACAAGTGAGAAATGAGGGCTGAAAGAGCATGAAGAAGAAAGGAGGAAAGAGAAGGAGAAGAAAAGGAAGAAAGGTGGAAGTTGAGGTATAAATACAAAGAACTGATGCAGATTTAAACCATGAGGACTTGCAAGGATTTTTTACAAGTTCTCATGGTCATACTGATTAGAATCTATGAAACTACTGAATCAAGAATGTCTAATAACATTTCACAAAGTACATATTAATCTTATGTGGGTAACCTTTGTGAAAAAACCCTCAAGAGAAAGAGGGAGATATTTATAGAAAACTACAAGAAAGCAGCGATTATTCACATTTAAAAAGTTTGAAATGAAAGTAAATATGGGTGTAATTGTATAAAAACTATCAACACCTAAACAAATCAAATCTATCAGGTCCGATAAATGTTGTTTCTGTTACCATTAGTCCTCCATGAGATATTAAAACCCAAGAGAACAAAGAAACTGGATTTAGTTTAAACTTTTCAAGGACAAGTGTGTGGGTGTGTGTGTGTGTGCAGTGACAAAGCGTGTCATAATGTTGCTAAGGTGCAGTGAAAGCTGATTGTGTCCATTCTTAATGCAGACAAAAGGCAGATGTTAGAGGATCTCTTGACCAGTGGAAACAGGGCTTAAGACAAAAATACAGTTTCACGTGAACGGACACTACTATCAACATGTCATAGGTGTCTGCATTAGAGCTATCCTCAGCAGATGCAGTAGGTTGTTGATGCTCAGGTGCATGATGACTGTCTAAAGGAAACCCTGCTTGTACTCAGTCGGCAAAACAGAGTCTGTCTGAAAGCACAGCATGGAGCGTTCCTGCCTGTATCAGCAATGTTTAGCATCAGGATTTGAGAATCTCATCAAGTAACTCAAGGGATGGAAGCCAGTCTCCCTTCAAACCACAGTGTAATATCGCCTTTATTAGTGTCTTGCAACAAGGGGAAAAATTCTGTTTGTGGTGAGATACAATGCAGTTTGTGCTGAGAGTGGCCTCTGTGATCAAACAAGCCTCAACCCAGTGATTATTGAGAATTCTTTCGATCCCCGCACAACAGGTATCTCTTCCCCCTGGGATACTTACAGTACTCCCACCTCTTATCCCTATCCTGCTGTCTTTCCAATCTTTGCACATCCCTCTGTTTCAGACAGGGGGGGTGAGATAGAGTGATGAACACCTGAGCAATACAGAGGACAACATAAACAGGGAGTCTGAGTGTGTGTATGCTTGTGTGTTTCTTGTATTAATCAATATATCCATCTCTGTGATTCCGAGGCCTGGATGGCAGGTCACTGAC